TTTAGGTACTGCTGTACCTATTTTTTTGTACCACGTGACCGTCAGGCTACCAGATGTTTCCCCTTGTGAAAGAATGGCTGGTAAGTGTAAATTGTGCTGCTGCAATGACGTAAACCAATTAGGCCTTTCATTGAAGTAAGGCATCATTACGAGTAGAAAAACCCTATCTAAACACACATTATGTTGGCATACCTGTGATAATTATTGACAACAAAATCAAGCACACAAATCCATATTAGAATAATTCACGCTTACCTGTGCTATAAATTTAAAACAAAATTGAACACACAAGCTTTCATTTATACAAGTAGGCCAATTTTTAAGCAATGACTTCTACATATTTTGTGAAGGCCGATATACGTGGTAGACTGGTGCCGTTCTAAGGAGACGCTGACCGGACCACAATGGACGGGAAGGGGGCTAATTATTGGCGCCCTTTAAAAAAATATTAAACAGACAAGTTAGAGGAAATGTCAGCCTCCCCCCCCCCCCCTCCCGGTCACTGACGGATGTTAGCATTAGACTCCGCGAAGCATAAATTGTCCCCTAGCTTACAACAAAGGCAGAGTTTCTTCCAGTCATCTCTTGGGTAAGGGGGCAGATGTAGGTACGGAGAAAAAGAACAACACATTCATTGAAAGGTTGACAAGATCGTTCCTTAAAGCCTGCGTAATATGCCTATTTTTTTTTAATGATGTCTGTTGTACCACGCCTTTGAGTTAGTGATGTCTTCCACTAATTAGACATACCTTTTAGTGATGTCTACCACACATTAGAGATACCTTTTAGTGATATCTACCTCATATTTGGCCTACCTTTTAGTGATATCTACCTCATAGTCCTCATATTTGGCCTACCCTTTAGTGATATCTACCTCATAGTCCTCATATTTGGCCTACCTTTTAGTGATATCTGTAATATATTGAGAATTGTGAAGTCAAGGGAACTCACTCTTCTTGTATTAGTCTTATATTTATAATGTTGTTTTGAGTGATGTCCCTTATATATATATATATATACATACATATATATATATATATATATATATATATATATATATATATATATATATATATATATATATATATGTGTGTGTGTCATGTGACCAGAGGCGTAGCGACCCTTCCCGGCGCCCGGGGACAAACTTTCGATTTGCACCCCCCCCCTCGAACTTTTCATTTGCACTCCCCTTCTCAAACTTTCGATTTGCACCCCCCTCGAACTTTTCATTTGCACCCCCCTCAAGCTTTCGATTTGCACCCCCCCTCGAACTTTTCATTTGCACCCCCCTCAAGCTTTCAATTTGGCGCCCCCCCCCTAAGGTCGGAGCCCGGGGACATGTGTCCCCCCCCCCCGCCCCCCCCCCCCCCCCCTATTCGCTACGCCTCTGTTTGTTAGTGTCAAGATCGAATTTTAAAATGCAAAGACAACCTAATAATAGAAATACGATAAAAAGTTATTTTATAAATTTTATGTTAACACTACATCCCTGGAGATTCTTAAATAGGAATATCAATCATAAACAGTACATTCCCCTCTATTAGTGACTACCATATATATATAGACCACATGTGTATGTATGCATTTTTTATTTTTTATTTTGTCATAACATGACATCAGAAACAAAATGCAACAGAATCGATATCCAAAAAAAAAATATATTTTTATTATTCGCTAAAATTTTAATCTAGAATTATACAGTGTGTCTACATTTTGGGGCGTAATATTTGTAATATTATCGGGACTATTACGAATGATGTAAAACATAAAAATATAGTGAATTCACAACACTAGTATAAAACCTTTCAAAAAGAACGTAACGAATATAAACAATAGAAAGCAGAAATTAGTATTTTTTTAATTTTTTTTTTTTCGTTTTATTTGTATTTTAAAAATTGTGATTTAACGATATTTATTGGTGTCGAAGTAATAATTGTTAGGGAATCAAACTATAATACGTATTATTGGTGCTTAAATGTTATGGCTTATGAGATTGATCAGAACACTTTATTAATAAATGGGCAAATATTGCTTTAATTTCAATGATGTTCTTGTTTTGTTTATGTTTTAGTTATACAACCTTTCTTTATGCTGGTGCGATTTTCCAGATTACTTATATCAAAATAGCAGCAAGTAAGTAACAGAGAAAGCCATTTAGTTAATTAGTATGAGTTGTTTCCCTGTAAAATGCGAATTTTCCAGGAAATTTCACATCTACCTGGGTTAAATTATGTCAGTAGAAAAATCTATAAATAAACAGGGGCATAGAGAAATGAATAGTTGTGTCGTGTTTATAGTATTTAAAGGGTGTTGGCTTATATAAATGTATACACAAACAATTATCTGTAAGTGGCTCTATGGCGCAACGGTAGCGCGTCTGACTCCAGATCAGAAGGTTATGTGTTCAAATCACGTCAGGGTCAGCTTTATTTTACTTTTCTGCATTACTATTAGTTCAACCCTGGTGATTAAAACAATCGAGGACTTTTTGTGACATAATCGGGAATTTATATTGGGTAGTTCCAGTGTGAATTTTATAAAAATTGTGTAAAGCAGACATGAAAGAAATCAAGGATTTTGTTGAGCATTGACAGCAAGGTTACTTATGGTTACTCACCATCGCACAAACTGACAACTACTACAGTTTTTTTCTTCTACCAAATTTACTAACCAACAATTTAGTATCAATACAACCAGAGGCGTAGCGACCCTTCCCGGCGCCCTGGGACATACTTTCAATTTGGCGCCCCCCTCGGGAGCAAATTTTCGATTTGCACCCCCCTCGAGCTTTTCATTTGCACCCCCTCCTCAAACTTTCGATTTGCACCCCCCCCCCTCTCGAACTTTTCATTTGCACCCCCCCTCAAACTTTCAATTTGGCGCCCCCCCCCCCTAAGGTCGGCGCCCGGGGAAATATGCCCCCCCCCTCGCTACGCCTCTGCATGTGACTTCCTGTTCCTGTTCCGTGATGGTAGCTGAATAAAAGACTAGTTAACAATCAACGTGGCTTTATCGTCAGTGTATCATTAATAGAAACATCAATCTATCACAATATCTACCTCATAGTCCTCATATTTGGCCTACCTTTTAGTGATATCTACCTCATATTTGGCCTACCTTTTAGAAATGTCTGCTAAGACACAGCTCCTCCCCCACTCATATTTGTCCTACCTTTTAGTGATGTTTGCTGTGATACATCCCACCCCACCTGAAGAGAAACATGAAAGAAACACAGTTGATCGCTGCGTTATTTTGACTAGACGCTGCTTTTGGAGGAGAACACAACCTCTTGGACCGAAGACAAAATATTGACATACCCACCTGCATATAGACAGAATGCAAAGTTCGTACAAAAATATAGTTCTTTGCTTTAATGCGCTCCACAATCTGTGGCGTAACAAGGGGGTGCGGGGGTGCAGTCTACAAGGGATGACGCAGTTTAGGGCTGTGACAGCACGAAGAAAAATTTAAAAATGTATCGTCAAAACAATATTTTGTCCGGAATATAATAAAATATAATAAAATAATAAAATTGTTGGAGGGGGTGGGTGTGACACCCTCAGCACCGCGTGACACCCGACCTAGTGACGCCACTGCCCACAATATGGCAAGTCATCACGAATTGCTAAATGTGCAAGATATAGACTTATTAGAATGAAAAGTGTCATTTTGTTGTAAAATAGCGCTCTAATCTAGTATTTATCGCTGACCTCTATAGTGGCGGGATGTGAGATTTTAAGCCCTCGACCACTTTGAGCTCTGGTTCAAGTCTAAAGGATGCACGTGAATTCAACCATTTATAATATTATAACAAAGAAACTAAAAGACAAAAAAATATTAACAGCTTAATCTGCCAAAATGCACATTATCTCTTTTCCTTTATTTTTCTTGAAGTCGTTTTAGTGTCATGTTAATTTTCATTTTTCTCTTTTTTTTTGTGGGGGGAGGGGGGGGGGCAATACAGTATACAGTGGTAGATACGGTGGTACACAGATACCGTGGTATACATATACCATGGTAGACAGATACAATTGTACACAGGTACCGTGCTAAACAGATACAATTGTACACAGATACCGTGCTAAACAGATACAATTGTACACACATACCGTGCTAAACAGATACAATTGTACACAGATACCGTGCTAAACAGATACATTTGTACACAGATACCATGCTAAACAGATACATTTGTACACAGATACCGTGCTAAACAGATACAATTGTAAACAGATACCATGCTAAACAGATACAATTGTACGCAGATACGGTGGTACACAGATACCGTGGTACACAGATACAGTGGTACACAGATACAGTTGTAGAATCGGGTTTGAACCAGAGTCAGAGCCCGCTGAGTCATAAAACATTTAGTCCGCACCATTTACCATTCGTCACTTGTGAGTGTAGGTACTGTGTTTGTGTGTGTTTGCTTGTATGTGTGAGTATCTGTAGGCCTGTATGGTTGATTGTGTGTATATGTAGGTGTATACGCGCTTAGTGAGTTTGTTCGCATGTTTTTGTGTGTGATTGTGTGTTTGTGAGTGCATGTGCTTTTGTTTGTCTTTGCTTGTATGTTTCAGTGCGTGTTTATATATGTATATGTGTTTTTGTTTGCCTTTGCTTGTATATTTGTATGTGGTTGTAGCCAATGTTTGTATGTGTGTTTGTGTTCGTCTTTGTCAGTATGAGTGGGTAGGTATGTTTTTGTGTGAGTTTTGCTTGTATGTTTGTGTGTGTTTACTCCCATCTCGGTAGTATCCAATCCCAAGAGCACCACATACACATAAAAAAATCCGTTACACGACCATCTGCTAGCATCGTGTGCTTTAAACACACAGACATCCGAAATTACACGGATAAAAAAAAAACATGGACTGCTCTCACAAAACGGTAAAAGAAGCAAAAGCTGATTTATGGAGGAAACGAGAAAAAAAAATTAAATGTTCCTCTGTTGCCTCAAAAATTTCTCGCGTAAAAGATGGCCTACTTCAGCTTACCTAATTACCATCACCGTAACCGAATTTTCAACAGCATAATCAAACCGAGGAAGTGTTCGGGTGTGAGTTGCATAGGATGTACGACTACATGTTCTCTTCCCCACCCCTCCTCTCCTTTCTAGAAGTTTTCACTCACCTCACCTGGCTTTTTCTTCCAGGTAGTTTTTTTCTCTTAAAAGCGGGTACCGACTGAGTTCATTTTCGATAGCTCGCTAACCCCCCTCCCTCCCCCACTCCTTCCCTGCCTGCCACATCTTTTCCTTGCCCTCGTCGATCGCGCCTCGTTTATTCTTTCTACATTTGATTCAGGAAAGAAGTGCGAACGTGTGTTCTTTTGGAGTTCTCGGTGTTTATGTGCTTTGGAGAATAGTGAGCCAAGAATTTATTTCAGGTGTCTAAGTGGTGTGGAATTCAGGAAATTTCATTCATCGTCTTCTTCGGTACTATCTACCCCCTTTAAATTTCTGAACAGACGTGTACCTATTTAAATTGTACCATTTTTTTCAAAAAATTATTTTTTCTAAGCTACAGCAAACTCCTGTGAAACTTTATAAAAGTTTGATCGGAAAAAGTACAACTGCGACGGTCATTGTTGTAAGAAACCTCTTTTTCCAATGTTTACTTTGTTTAGGCCACTGAGTTTAGTGCAGTTAGGTTTCTACTTTTAATTACTAATAATAAGCTACTGATCTTTTTTATATAATGAAATTATTATGAAATGGCCAAGGCTATTCCCAGCTGGTTGACGGGGCTTTTCAGCCGCTTTTCTCAGCCGACTGTGAGTAGCCGACTAGCCGGCTATTCCCAGTCGGCTGTCATTTCGTGCTAAATAACTAATAATTACTAATTGGAATTGGGAATAATATCTTACAATATTAAAGCATTTATTGTTACTGGGGAGTGAGGTATAGATCTAGGGTAAAGCTCCATTTTAGCGTATTTTATTCCTCGATTCACGTTCACCTCTAGTTGAGCGTATTTTTATTTTATTATAAAATTATAGATCTAAACACAACTGAAACACAAAAACGTTAGGAAATCACTCGGCCAATTTTTTTAAATGAATCTTTTGTTTAGTTTTGTAAATTAATTTGGTCAAAACTTGAGAAAAATCCAAAATTTGGAATATTGAATAGGGTCCTATGTTCTAGATCTACTATTTTCAACATTTTGATCTAGAATCTAGATCTAGATTTAGATTTAACTTTTTCTTTCTTGAAAATTAAATGTGTTCGTGTCAGTTAAGATTTTCATGGCAATGTGTAAAGTAGAAAAACATAATTGCAAGGCATGATAGTAGGCCTATAAATTTATTAACTTAGTCTACAGGAACTCACAATGACCCTAAGCTATGACGTACTGATAATTAAATTCAAAGTGAACTCACGGTGAACCCTTGACCATGTAGTATAGGGATTTTTCTCACGCCAACAATCACACGCTATTTAATTGGAACTGTAGGCCTAATGATAATTAATAATATTTTTTACTTTTTCTAATTAGGCCTAAAATATATTCATAAAAAATAAGTAGATTATCTATCAACTAATGATTCTAATCCTAGTGTTTTCCTAACATTTGTTTTTGTGCTTTGGTTTTGTTTATAATAAAATACGTTTGACCGTAGGTGAACGTGAAGCGGCGAATAAAATACGCTAAAATGAGTTTTACCTAGATCTAGATTAAGGGAGCAGTGCTATTTTTATTGTTATATCTCATTTAAAAAATTATTATGGTTTAGATATTAGAGTTTACTAGTTTGTTTAGGCCTAAGTTGTTTAGTTAAGTTAATAAGTTAAGTAGTTAAGTTTGTTTAGCTTTTAAGCCAGGCTCATATCCTCACCTTCTGGCACAACAGTCGTCTACTTCACCACACAATTTAATACTTATTTTGTTTTGGTGTTTTTAACATTAAATCTATCAAAAACAGTCACGACTGTGAATAGCCTTTAGTAATCTAGTAGAAACATGGGGCAAAGGGGGAGGGTCATAGTATATATCTATGTAGTTTTAATGTAAACTATCGTTACTATCATCTTAGCATCTGCATAGACATACATACGTAAAGACAAAGTTAGCACTATTACAGCAGAAGCTAGATTCTGCTAGATCTAGTATTAAGTAGGCCTATTTAATAATGTGACAGAAAGGTGACTAGGTCTAGATCTAATTAACTTTTATTGATTTTTTTAGCAATTTTACAAAAATTAATGTTTTAAAAGTTACTAACATGTTTAGGTCTATTGATTTTAGATCATCGGATGCAATCGAGCTTGTTAGCTTAGCAACCATTTTTTAAGTTATTTTTTCAGTAGGCCTAGATCTATATTAATATTATAGTTAGAATTTCAAGATAGACAACTCTAATTCATATGGTCACTGTTTATATAGCTGATCTTGCTCTCAAACACTGCTGTTTAAAGTTTTTGCCTATATTCATATATTTAGACATTGCGTTGGACATATTATTCAATATCTATTTTATAATTGGTACAAATGTATCCCAATATATTTGTATGAAAGCCATATTAATGAGTCACCTTTCTTTTACATTACTAGCTCCTGCTGATTTTGCGTTCATAAAACGATAGATTACCGATCTCTAAACTCGTAATGGTTTCCATTTCATAAAATTAAAATTTATTACTAGGCCTATAGGTCTAAAAATTATTTATAAGATCAAGATCTAGCCTTTATTTTTTTAATTAGGCATTGATCTAAATATAGGTATACACTTTTTAATGTTCACCAAGTTAACAGTTTAAATTTTAGACCCCCACCCCCTCTGCCATTATGCATCCACTTTGAATCTCACAAAAGATATTGAATACTAGACTTTGAGTCCTAGACAAGACTATAGGCTTTTTCTGCTTAATTTATAATTATTAGTCATATTTGTATTCAGCTAACTACCAGCAATCTAACACTCCTGTTTTAAGAAGACTCCATTATTGTGGCATTATCAGACATTGGTATAACACACATACACCACCAAGCATCAAGATGCACTATGTTTGTAGTGTTGGTGTACATTTTCTGTTTTTCATTTACTATATCATCCAAGAATATATAAGTTTCACATATTGTTTTGTTACTGAATAATAGCAGTCCCTAAATCTGTAATAAGTTGCATTGTTAAAGTTTTTAGGTCTTTCTGCCAACTAAATTTACTTGATCTATTAAGCCCCCTAACTTACTTAAGGTTACTGAACACATTTTTAAGTATTAAATATAAAAGTAAGACTTATTATTATAACTACTGAAGCTTTTTATATTAGACACATTATAATGCATGTACATTTAGAATGTATTGGTGAGATATAGTCCTACATGATGGTTAAATTAACTTATGAAGGCAGGGCATTAGATGCAAGCAGATACAATTGCCAGAGTATTTTATTCGCAGAGCCAGTCCATCCAATCAATCGAGAGCAAATAATTCATCATCCTCCCCAGGAGGGTTATCATAATCTATCTCTCTCCATCATAATTTGTTTCAACATGTCTGCATGCCACCCAAACACATTCTAACCACCTTTGTCTAAATAAATATTAATGATAAAATCTTTCAGAAAATGTAGCGAGTATAGATTATAGCCAGCTACGCCCCTGTAGTTTTTCTTCTTTTTATAATGTTAATATTTTTGGGCAAGCAACACCTTATTGTTATGATCACATTTTTTCCTTCTTTGTAATATTTATCTTGGCCCAATCTGCCCTGTCATGACTCTGAACCTATAACAACAGAGAACTGCCCTCCCTGGGTGTGTCAGGGCGTTGACCTGGCTGTTTCCTGAGCCTAATTTGTTTCTCCTGTAGACGGGCAGTTCCCCTTGTACCCACCTTGCCCCCTGGATGCCAGAACTGGCATATGTGTTATTTCTCCCTGTTAAAAGATGGGGCTTTGGCTTTGTGGCTGCCATTGTTTTGTTGCTCCGAACAGCATACATCCTTTTTCTTTAAGATTTCTCTTTTATCATGGTGAATTTCCTTATTTTTTATAGATATCATCAAAGAATAATTTTTGCTCTTGTAGATGGCATCTTTCTTGCTTCATTTTTCTCCTATGTTTGTTAGTTTTGATCATTATGTTTTGAATATTGGTAAATTAAATACTTAAAAAAAAATCTTTTAAATTGGCCACTGTTCAATTTTAATAAAGTTTATATTTAATTTACGTTTAAAGTTAATTTGAATAAAAATCTTTTTAAGGCTGGTACTCTATTGTTTCATCTCAGCAGCATCTTCACATCCAAGTTTCCTATCATGGCTTCATCCCAGATGGCCTCAGCCACATCTTTTAAAAACCCAAAGTTAATTTCCATACCCGATGTAGAGATTGACAAACACGGCAAGTTCAAATATGTTCTGGTCAAAGTTCACGATCCAGACATGGACCGGGAGTTTAAACACATTGTGCGAGGGACAGCCAAGGCAGCTTTTCATGGTGAGTTATTGCCCTTCCTTGTGTGATTCATGGGTCTGAAAGAAATCTTGTTTTTATATTACATTGTGTGTATGTTACTGTTTGAGTAAGATTACATAGTTATATATATTTGCTTGAAAGATTACTTGGAGTGTGCTATTGATAAAAAAAATTACATAAAGGTGTATGTTTGGAGAAAAATTTAATGGGGAGTATGTTATTTTTTGAAAATTATTGTATGGCATGTATGCTTATGTTTGAATAATAATTATTTGGGGGTGTATGCTATTGTTTGAAAAAAATCTTGTTTTTTTTTTTGTAAAATAGAAATGAATTGTATGTTGTTTGATTGAATGACATAATGATAGCAAGATGATGCTGACACGTATAAAATAACCTTATCGTTTAAGAAAATGTCATTATAATTAAAAGAGATGGCTGTATGCCTAAAGAAAATCAAATCATATCCTGAAAGTTGGTATGTTAGTTTGGGATAGACAGTGTTATCATATGTGATGTTGGGGTTTCTTTACCTTTAGTGGTCAAGTTTTTGTTTTTAAAATGAGCTTTTTAACTGGCTACTTTCATTGTCTTGATATTTAGTATTCTGTGAATAATTAGGATAATCAAAGTTTTTTTTTTTTCCATACCTGTTTCTGAGCTTTTTTTTTGACTTTGTCGCTTTTCTCTAAATGAATGTTTTCTGTTTATTTTTTGCTACCTCACCCAATGTAGTGTTGACTTTATTACCTCACTCCCCAATGTTGACTTTATTACCTCACTCCCCAATGTTGACTTTATTACCTCACTCCCCAATGTTGACTTTATTACCTCACTCCCCAATGTGGACTTTATTACCCTACTCCCAATGTTGACTTTATTACCTCACTCCCCAATGTTGACTTTATTATACCTTGCTCCCCAGTGTTGACTTTATTACATCACTCCCCAATGTTGACTTTATTACCTCACTCCCCAATTTTGAACTTATTACCTCACTCCCGAATGTTGACTTTATTACCCTACTCCCAATGTTGACTTTATTACCTCACTCCCCAATGTTGACTTTATTACCTCACTCCCCAGTGTTGACTTTATTACCTCACTCCCCAGTGTTGACTTTATTACCTCACTCCCCAGTGTTGACTTTATTACCTCACTCCCGAATGTTGACTTTATTACCCTACTCCCAATGTTGACTTTATTACCTCACTCCCCAGTGTTAGCATTTTTCTACTTCACTCCCTAGTGTTAATCTCGTTACCTAACTCCTCAATGCTAGATGCCTAGTTTTGTTGTCCCTGTGGCAAATCTTACCTTAACAAAACACCTACAGATAACTAGTGCGCCAATAGTTACCTCTGATTTACCAGATAGTCTTTGTCATTGTCAGCGGGTGTGAGCCAATCTATAATTGAAGCCAAGCACGTTTTACTAGTGTGATGTTTCATTGCCTTCTGTTTGGGAGGGGGGGGGTGGGGGGTTGGACACTGGGGTGAGGGGTTATGAAAAAAAAACCTTATCAAACCAGAGGTATTTCTTCAAATAAAAAATAAATGAACATGTCTTAGTTTTCATTAGAAATACGGCTAATTTAGCGGTGCTTTGAAACCTGAGACATTTGCGTGGGAGGGTTCTGGCTTTTGATGAGTAGGAGGTAGAATCGGCTAAATAACTTGAGGACAGACTTCCCCCTCTTTCTAGAACCATCTAACTACTTGTCTTGTGAGACTTTGGTTGCAGTGAGTTTGTTGTACCAAAGACTGGCTCTTGTGGTAGGGTCGGTTCTCTTTGCGTGATAACATTTGTACGGTTAATTAAGACCGTTGATGGAGTTGAGTACTGAGGGGGGGGGGGGGGGGGGGGATGATATTGCTATCGATTACCAATACCCATATAATCGTATTGTGGGTAACGGTATGCTCAACGTTAGGGTTAAGGATTGATGGGTGATTTTGGAATGGGTTTCGTGTTAGGTTTAGGGTTTAATTATCGATTATGTCGATGACAGTTGAGCAATATGGGGGGGGGGGGAATGGTGATGTCGAACCGCCTCCGTGACCCCACCCCAATAAAAAAATAACCTTTAAATTATATATATATATATATATATATATATATATATATATATATATATATATATATATATATATATATATATATATATATATATATATATATATATATATATATATATATATGTAATAGGAAAAAATTAAACTCACTCTCATGACACAACCCTGCCTTCGTCACTGATTGGCGCTATTGTGTGTTAGAATTTGTGGGTGTGGCGAATCAGCTAGTGACTAAACACAATTCTGCGCATTTGAAACGGCCTGTCTAAGATGTTTGAGCGAAATGAATGTAAGGCCCCGAACTCGGATGGCACAACACTCATCATCCATCTGCCTGGGGCGCCTAGCCCCCCTCTCGAGCGACGCCGCCGTATGCCGAGCGTGAAGCGTTGTACCTGTTCTTTAGGCTGAAGGCGAATATGCTATCAGCTTTTCATTGACATCACTCGTGTTTTGACAAGCTGAAGCAACAGCACGCGTAATATTTCACGTGCATTACCGGTAAGTCATGCGCACAGCGTGCTCAACGGTCGTCTGCGTTATTTCCGCGCCTGACGGGCACGTGCCGGTGAAATAATAAACCAATAATAAAAATTGGAATCCGGAGTAGCACGCGGGGGAAGCACATCGGTAACTTCCCCTGAGTAGAGAGGTTTTTTTTTTTGTACTGCTAACCTTGGCAAAGTGGACTGTTTACTTTGTGTATGTGTGTGTTGATGCGGGGGAGGGAGTGTGGAAGATCCACTTTCCATTAGTTCATCCCGTTTTTCTTTCCCTTTCTGATTGTAAGATTCTTTCCCCCACACATGACGTCATGTCTCCCCCCGAACCCACGTGTCCTGGGTACATCCGTTGCCACGTGGCCCTGCACCCCCCCCCCCCCGGGGAGGGGGGATCGCCACTGATGAATGGGCTGATAATGCCCAGCACCATCTCATTCATCTTGCTGTTGTCATACGGCGGTCGATGCTGACAGGTACCGCACTGTGTGATGGTTTAACATCTGTGTGCCTACTGGAATATTTTTTTAGTTCCAGAGTTTCTTCCAGGCGGGGTTGGGGCATTGCCCCCGAAGCACGTCCAACCCCACTCCTTCCCGAACGAATTAAAAAATAATCTATATGGAAAATAAATACTTTAATCAGCATCGGAAATTTAAGTCCCACCCCCACCAGGATAAACACTGTCAAGTTGTACATGCGAAGGCAATCTGAAATTCTCCCTACCTAACCATAAAACGTGTAGATTCTAGTTTTTTAATTCTAATTTATTTGTATTTCTCTATAGATGATACATCTTTTTAGACCTAAGCACTTCCATCTCTCACCCCGCCCAATCAGATTAGTGCAAATATTCAAATGTTCAGTCGTACACGTTTTTGGTCCGCAGTGAGCATGCGCGGTCAACTTTAACTTTCACATGCATACATCGTAATATCCAAGAAACGCGTTCTGTTGGACATGTTTATTGTCTCTGCTCTCTCTTACCTTTAAATTGGACGATTGACCAAGACTATTTAGTGAGTTTGAGCGACATTATCGTTACTGGTTGCTGTTCTGCTATGTTTGCTGCTCCTAAATTTGTTGTAATTTGAAAACATTTCTAGCATGGGGTTTTTATTATGTGAGAATCACACATCAAGATCAATAGATATACTCTAACCATCCATCCCAACTTGAATACATTCTGGTGAAATTCATCTTTTTCTCCCACCTTCTCGGGGTTTATGGTGATGTGTTGTAGGTAGGGATGTCATATTTTTTAGCCCCCCCCCCCCTCCCCCCACATACTTACACATATACACATAAAACAAAAAACAAAAACTGCACGCTGTTAAAAGTGATATAGACGTTATTTATGAGTGTCTTACAACTAATCAGATTTTGTTTCTTAACCAACCGTAATTCCCACCCCCTCCCCTCTACTTTCCCTCTCCATACTTCATACTTCTATTCCACTGAACCTAATAGCAGACACCCTTCTGCTGTATGGCTAGATGAAAGTATGCGGCTCGTTGTTCCCCACATTGATAGGTGAAGCTCGGTATCTTTTATAGACGAGCCGGGTACATTACATTAGCGTCCTAATGAGAACACAACTCACCCCCTGGGTTTGATCGAGAGTTACCCCGCTTACTTCACCCCAGCCGAACAAAAAAAAACTGTTGCATTCTTGCACATGTTGACACTGCACATCCCTTTGTTGTTCCGGTACTGCTCCGTGCTAATAGCCGGAATGATGAGTAACCTCCCCTTTCTGTTGGTAACCTTTCTACGTCTTCTCTCTGGCCTCAGGCCGATGCACATTACTGCCAATTATTATTTCCCTTTGTGCCAGAGATTCCTCGGCTGGCGATAGACAGGAACATGATAGCAGTTTAAAGGCGCTTGTCTGTGCATCAGTGGGGTTGTTTTTGTGTATTGACGTCCTGGGGTTTCAGGTGCCCCTGTAGGTATTTGAGAGTAAACAAATGCACGTGTTCAATCATTTCAGTAAATAAATAGTCGCGTATAGTTATTTCAGTAAATCCACGCGTCCAACTATTTCAGTAACAAATGTACCTGTGCAATAATTTCAGTAAATAAATAGACGGGTATAGTTATTTCAGTAAATACACGTGTCCAACTATTTCAGTAACAAATGCACTTGTGCAATAATTTCAGTAAATAAATAGACGGGTATAGTATAGTTATTTCAGTAAATATACGCGTCCAACTATTTCAGTAACAAATGTACGTGTGCAATAATTTCAGTAAATAAATAGACGGGTGTAGTTATTTCAGTAAATACAGGCGTCCAACTATTTCAGTAACAAATGCACTTGTGCAATAATTTCAGTAAATAAATAGACGGGTATAGTTATTTCAGTAAATACACGTGTCCAACTATTTCAGTAACAAATGCACTTGTGCAATAATTTCAGTAAATAAATAGACGGGTATAGTA